TGTTAGTTGGAGTCCTGGTTCATGAAACTCTCACAAATGCAGGACGAGTTATCCACCTTGATGGTTATGTTGAAAGGTAAGCAGCTGCTGTTCAAGCTCCCCGCCCACAACTAGTGGAATGATCACTGAATGGGTAGGAACGTGTGTCCAAGCTGTGGGCAGGAAGATTGTGGTAATGCTGTCAAGCATTTCACCTGAGCTATGCTGCTTATCAGGATGCTTGCGGGGTACCTGCCATCCACCTAGTGAGGGCTCAAACCTGTTCTTGTCCAATACCAAATAACTAATGTCATATGACTATTCTCCCAGAGGAATAGGGGTAGGGAGATAAGTGAGCTGAGCGAGCTCCAAGGCGATGTGGTTGGCAACAGAACGTTGGAATTCAATCAATGCTCAGTAAAGAGGCGGGTTCCATAGTAATTCAAGGCACTGTTGATGACAGCCCAGACCAGCTCATCAGCAGGAGTTAGAGAAACAAACCTGTCGCTGTGGGCATGGATTCTTACCACCCGCCAGACAATGCTCGCGATAGAACAGTTTCAGTTGGTTAATGTGGTTTCACTTGGTTAAACTCCAGTAGTATCCTGTACATCACTCTGGGGTCCCCAATATTGAGTTGAGACTCAGTATGAGATTGCTGAGTGTCAACCTGGACCTAATGGTCTCCAGAATTAGGTAAATAGGTGCTTCTGAAAAAGTGTATATATTCCATTCCAGCCACAGGGAAATGTCCCTGTGTAGCTCGCATACAAAATGGGAAACTCAGTCTGATTTGCATACTCTTAATCATGATGCTGGGTTTCTGTATGTGTCAGATAACTGGCTGATCCCAACAATCATCAATTCTCCTTAATACTCTTCTATCCATGTATCTGATTTTCTTTTAAACATCCTTATTTATTACGCCTCTACAGCTTCCTGGGCGGAATTTCACATCTTCACAATTCTCTGTGTGAAGAAATGCTTCCTGATCTCTGTTCTAACCATTTTAGTTCTGATATTTAAAACTATGCCCTCTTGTGTAATGGATTCCTCTACGAAAGGGAATTGTCCACTATCCTATCTGTCAATTAATTGCCTTATTTTAAACCTCAATCAAATCACTCCTTAACTTCCTCTGCATCTCAAAACCTACCTCTTCGACCAAGCCTTTGGCAACCCTCCTTGCCCTATACCCTCCCCGATCCCGACTGCCAGCTCGGGTCCGAATCCCTCCCGACGTGAAAGGCACTATACAATTGTAATTCTGTGTTGTATATTCCACCTTTATTTGTCTATCAAATTTTGCATATTGTTCACTTTCATAAGTTTTGTCCTGTTTTGTTCTGTCCATGCACATCAATCAGTTCTCACCTGCTACTGAAAACCTTGTTGGTTTCCGAGCACAACTAATGAACTTGAAACCTGAACACACAAAAGGGCAGCTTAACAGAGCTGATTGGTACATTACTTGAAATAGACAACAGGGTTAATAACATTGAAGGAACAAAGCAGTAACAGCATTTGCTATGGGATTTCTTCCTTAACTAATTTTGCAAAACTGCATTAGAAACGTTATGGCAATCATCTTGGTGTGTAATGTTTTAAAAACAGATCCAATCTTTATAGTGTAAGGACTTATTATATTGTTCCAGATATTGTTCAGACTTTGAGTTAATTTTCCTAGATCATATATTATTCATTTCTGATTGATGAGGTGTAGTTGCCACAAATTCTGCAAAACAAAAAACAAAAAACAGTTCACAATAAAACTTGCAAATATGCAGTTAACAGAGACCACCATGACAAGCATTTTTCATTGCATGTTAATGAAAATGATGGGTGGGAAAGTTGCAGTGCAGTAAATGTTGTGGAAAATGGACAAAGGGATAAAATATTTAATTCAGTTTCCACATTTCCAAAGTTGACAAGTTGGTGTGAAATGTTGCCTTAACCAGCCGCTGTAATTGCTCGAGTCACAAGGGTTAGTGCTTGTAATAAATTTACGTGTTGATTGATTCCAAGACATGGTAATTCACAATGAGGTCCTCAAAAGATTGTTTAATCACTGTCCTAGTATTCAGGCAATAACAAACTCTCTAGAGTAATTAGGATAGGTATTATGTTTACATTCACAAATAGCCCCAGTAGTATTCCGATTAACTACAATCATCTGCAGAGCGATGGAAAGATTGCCAATTGTTTTATCAACTCTCAATCGGACAATTATCCTATTAACCAGTCATAATTGGGGAATACAGGACCTCAAGAGATTGCATTATCTATTATAAAGTAAATGTGCAGATTTGGACAATTAAGTTGGAACATTTCTATGTGTTCATTTGTTGTTATACTTCTGGGTGGTCTTCACCCACGTCACTGTAATGGCCTTATGCAGTTTCCCAAAACAGTTTCAAATCTTTGAACCCGTCAAAAGGAAGTCTCTGCGGAAAGAAAAAAAATCTGAAGGCAAAGATATTTATATTGCTTAAAACTAAAATCCTTTTATTTCTCATCAAAAGGTATGAGGTTTTATGCTGCTAAAAGCCCAAGTTGAACTCAACCAAATGCTTATTCGCAATGCTTCATTAATGGGAAAATGCTGTTAAGTGGTCATCAAATGTTTGACTTCAGGTTATTTCTTGAAACAGGTGGACACTTAATCCAAATTCATTCAAAACAATTAAAATCAACATGATTTTTGATTTCATGTACTACTACCAAACTATTCTAAAAAATGTATTATAATTTATTATACATTTAAAGCGAATGTTGTTTATTTAACTTTAGGACTCTCAATCTGGAAAACTGGTAGCATACTGCATTATACTTAACAGATACAGCTTTTGTATTAAATGTTATATATTGCTGCCTCTACTGTATGAAATATTTTAGGAGAATTCAATTTAACCCCCCCCCCCAAGCTAAAACTCTTGCTTAGTCATGCGAATGGCATATTTCTAATGTGACCCAAATAACTTGGAATGTTTCAAGAATTTCCTCAACAATATTCATCCTTCCATAAAATGTGCCATGGTACTGAAAGAAGAAAGGCCAAATGCCTTTTCTAGATGTCATGGTTGTTAGAAAGGCAACTGTTTCCCAGGGATTCAAAGTTAATTGAAAACCGCGATCGTTATTTACATTTCCTTTCTAATGACCACCAGACAGTAAATATAGGGATCATCAGAATGCACGTAGATAGAGGCCTTTCAAACATGTGAAAGCAACCATGATGAAAATAAATGCAGGGCACCTATAGAAAAATGAAAGCCCGCTTAGTCTAATAAAATAATTCAAAGCAAACACCTGCCTCAGGCCCCCACCCTTGTTGGATCCCAACCCTCAGGTGCAAACCATCAACTGCCCAGTGCCTTGGAAAGTCCTCCCAATATGAAAGGCACTATATAATAAGAAAAAGAAAAATCCTGGCATTTGATATAACGCCTTATCATGTCTTCGAGACGTCTCAAAGTGCTTAACAAAGCATACTGTGAAGTGAATTGACTGTATAATTTGTGAGCCAACTGCAATTATTTTTCATATATTTTTAAAAAATATGAAATAATTTATATATTTTTATATATAAAAAAATTATATATATATAATTTGTTATAGTTGATGTTAGCAGTTTCAGATACAAACTGTATCTGCATGTTCACGGAAAGTAGAACAATGTTCTTATCGCTCAACAGACACGCCATCATGTTCTGAACCTAACCCTAAGGCAATTATCATCCTGGGGGTGGACAGCGAGGAAGATTATTATGTTATGAACTATACATTATTTGTATATGTAAAACTTGGGTATAACGATACATAAGTTTAAATCAATTAATAAATCAATGAATCAATTTTTTTTGTCAGCATGTCTGACACGTGCGGAAGCCCATCACTATGCTTAGGAGTATCCAAACCAAGCTGAGAATTCCATGCACCCCGCGACAACAACAACTTGAATTAATAAAGCACCCTCCATGCCGGACGGGGTCTCAGATCGCTTTACAGTAACGGTTCCCGGGGCCGAGCCAGGGGAGGGGGAGGAAGGTGACCAAAGATGCGGTCGAAAGAAAGGTCTTCAGCAGAGACCTGAAAATAGGAAGAGAGGGAGCGAGACGAAGGGAGTGAGGAGGGGAGTTCCAGAGCCTCGGGGCATAGTGGCTGAAGGCACGGCCGCCGAGGGTGGAGTGGAGCACTCGGAGGAGGCCAGACCCGGAGGAACGAAGGCAACGGGTACTGTTTTGAGGAGAGAGGTCAGAGAGGAGTGCAGGGACTCGAATACAAGGGTGAGGATCTTGAAATCGATCTTCTCTGGGATAGGCCGCCAGTGCAGTCTGGCAAGGACTGGGGTGAACGGGGAGCGGAGTTTGGCGCGGGCGAGAATACGGGCGGCAGAGTTTTGAATGATCTGGATTTTAATGGATGGTGTTGGATGGGAGACCGGTTAGAATAGTCCGGCCCAGAGGTGACAAAGGCGTGGGGACCAGAGCTTCAGCGGCTCTTGGGGAGAGGTATTGGCGGAGACGGGCGATGCGTCGGAGGTGGAAGAAAGCGGTGCTGGTGAGGGACCGGATGCGGGGGGTGGGGGGGGGGGTGGGGGGCGGGGGGGGGTTGGGGTGGGGGGGTCGGGTCGGTGGAGGAGGTGAGAGCCGTGGGAGTCGAGACGTTGACGGGGCGCGTGCGGCTGCCATCTGGTCAGACGTTGTGCTGAAGGGAGTTTGCGCTCATCCAGCGGTGGGTGGGGGGTTGGGTGGGGGCGGGAGGGGGGGGGGAGGGGCGGACTTGACGCGCGGCATCAATCACGCTTCAGGTGTAGCCTTGAACACGTGCTGGTGAGCGGCGCGACGCCACGACGTCACAGGCGAGCGAGTCAGGTCGGTGACGCCCTCTGGCCTGCGGCATTGTGACGCTAGGGACACGCCAGCTGATCCCGGGCCCGGCTTCAGCCAAGCCCCGCCCCCCCCGGCCCCGGCCCCGCCCGGTCACGTGACCGCGCCCTGACCCGGTTGTTGTTCGCCGCGTGACGTAGTTGTGACGGGTCAGGTCGACCCCGCGAGCGGACGGAGCGACTGACAGCAGCCAAAGTGAGTGAAGCGAAGTGCACGGGGGCCCCGGCGCGGCCCTCCCTCCCTCTCCCTCTCTCTGGGTCTCTCTCTCTCGGTCCTTATGGCCGCTGTGATTTTCCTGTGGGGGCGCAGCAGCAGCAGCGGCGGCGGCTTCAGCTTCAAACCCCCCCCCCAAAACAGAAAGGAAACGTCGATTCTGTAACATGAACGAAACGTCGGGGGCGGTGCGGTGCTGTGAGGAGCAGGAAGCGGCGGGAGGCCGGAGCTGTGCTGGGTGTCTGTGGGTGGGTGGGGGGGCTGGTCAGGCAGTGTGGGGGGGGGTGGGGGCTGGTCAGGCAATGTGGGGGTGGGGGGTGTGGGGGCTGGTCAGGCAGTGTGGGGGCTGGTCAGGCAGTGTGGGGGCTGGTCAGGCAGTGTGGGGGCTGGTCAGGCAGTGTGGGGGTGGAGTTGTGTGGGCTGGTCAGGCAGTGTGGGGGGGGGTGTTGCTGTGTGGGCTGGTCAGGCAGTGTGGGGGTGGGGGGTGTGGGGGCTGGTCAGGCAATGTGGGGGTGGGGGATGGTGCTGTGTGGCTGGTCAGGCAGTGTGGGGGTGGGGGATTGTGCTGTGTGGGCTGGTCAGGCAGTGTGGGGGTGGTGCTGTGTGGGCTGTCAGGCAGTGTGGGGGGGGGGATGGTGCTGTGTGGGCTGGTCAGGCAGTGTGGGGGTGGGGGGTGTGGGGGCTGGTCAGGCAGTGTGGGGGTGGGGGGTGTGGGGGCTGGTCAGGCATTGTGGGGGTGGGATGGTGCTGTGTGGGCTGGTCAGGCAGTGTGGGGGTGGGGGATGGTGTTTGGCCCGGTCAGGCAGTCTGTCAGCTGTTGTTGTTTCATCCTTTATTCCCCAAGCGCTGAGTGAGAATCAGGACTGACCGCCAATCCAATTGGAACCAGAGAGAGTGGACCCTGGGATAGCACCAGGATAGAACCAGGCCCGGAGCTGGAACTAGGGATGTCACCAACAACAACAAATTGCATCTGTAAAGCGCCTTTCACGTCAGGACGATGCCCCAAGGCGGTTGGACAATCAGGGATCCGCACCTGAGCTGGTGGTGTGGATCCGGAGGGGTGGAGTGCGCGGCGGGTAGGGGAAGGAGGGTGACCGAAGGCACGGTTGAAGAGGAGGGTCTTGAGACAGGTCGTGAAGGAGGCAAAGGAGGGTTGAAGCAGAGGGACTGCAGAGAGGCTGAAAGGCCCGCCTGCCAATGGTGGGACAGGCATGGCAGAGGATGTGAAGCAGGCAAGAGCCCCTGAGCGGAGGGAACGGACATGTTGGTAGAAGGTTAGGAGATCACAGAGGTAGGGAGGAGCAAGGCTGTGGAGGGTTTTGAAAGTGAGAATGTAACAGCCAATTTAATAATAGTAATCCTTGCATTTGATATAACGCTTTTCACGTCTTCTAGATGTCTCAAAGCGCTTCACAGAATATACTGTAAAGTGAATTGACTGTATATTTGTGGGCGAAATTTGACTGCAATGTCCCATAAACAGCCCTGCGTGTGAATGACCATTTTTTTAGTTTGGGGGATTGTTTGTGGAACATTGCAATTCGGCTGCCATTTCATCTACAACTACAGTTGTTAAATTTACAAAACTAACTGAAGCATTTTGACATTTTGTATCAAATGCAAGTATTTTTAATAAGAAAAATGAAAACCTCATATGGAAGCTTCAGAATAGTGACACAGCAACCAAACTTGCTTTAGACTTTAATGTGAGTCTCTGAACCATTTCTAACATGAAACAATTGAATGCAAAGCTGTGGAAATTTAATGAAGAAATGGGACCATCCCATCTAAAGGCAATGTCAGAGTCCATGTTCCATCAAGTTGAAAATTCTCTTTGTCAATGGTTCCTTCAACTTTGTGCTTTAGGATCTTCCATTTTGGGATTGATAACGATGGAGAAGGCATGCCATTTCCATAAATTGCTGGGAATAACAGCCATGGTTAGCACAGGCTGCTCCCGAAGTGCCATGTTGTTTTTGGAAGAAAACTAAGTCGATGTGTCCTTTGTCCAGGCAACTGGTTTGATAAATTCTGCATAGAATGAGACCTGACACTGGAGCAACTACAATGCAAGTGAAAGTGGCTGTTTTGGAAGTGTTTCCCAACCTGTATATTTACGGCAGGCAAGAGGCAATCGGAAAAAAAACAGAAGTTGCCGGGAACACTCAGCAGGTCAGGCAGCATCTCTGGACAAAGGAAAGTGAGTCCACGACCCTTCGTCAGAACTGGGGCATGTTGGGAGAGAGAGGCTTTCAAGGACTAACAGAGAGGGGGGGAGGCAGGACAAGGAAGACAACGGAGAAAATGGGGTAGAGAACAGTAGATGATGATTTGAGAGGTGTTAATGATGCAAAACAAAGGGGGTTGCAAATGAGTTCCTCGAGCTTCCGCTGTGGTTCATTGGAACAGCGTAGGAGACCGTGGATGGAGAGATAAGAGTGCGAGTGGGAGAGAGAGTTGAAGTGGCAAAAAAGCGGAATCTCGGGTTTGTGCTTATGGACAGAATGGAGGTGTTCGGCAAATTGTGTTTCGTCTCCCCAATGTAGAGGAGACCACATCGTGAGCACCGAATGCAGTAAACTACATTGGTGGTAGTACATGTAGGCGTATGTGAACTAAGGGGCAATAATAAACTAGCCACTAAGTCAATAAGGAATGGCTGACATATTCAAATGCTGCTGGATTGTAACTGGCAAGTCTGGAAATCCGAAGGCATTTAAATATGCAACTGCTACCCATGTGTTATTTTTAAAAAAAAGCTTTTTGACTTTCCTATATAAAAAAATAGGTGAATAATCTAAGACGATAGTTCAATGCATTGAATGTCAGATATACGAATAATTCGGTTTATTGAATAATTTTCCCTGTGACAGTTTGCATAAATACAATTCATCTGAGTCTGGATAAAATTATAGCCCCAAATCAGTTCTACAGTACAGCACGAACATCGTCAGTGTCCTCTCCTTCCCCCCCTCCCCTCCCCTCGCCTCACGCCCCAAAGAGATCACTGATAATCGATTGGTTGGCGAGTGAGGACCCGTCTGATTGGCGGAGGAGAGCATTTCCGGTTTCGGTGCACTCGGAAGCGGCACAGCTTGAGCTCTCGGAGAAGAGTCTCTTATGTTTAGTCCAGTTATATGGAATCCTGTGGCATAGTGGGTAGTGCACCTGCCTCACAAGCAAGAGGACCTGGGTTCGATTCCTGGGCAGGGCGAACTCTTCGGCAAGTTTCCTTACTCCAAACACCTCTATTTACTTAGCAGTAAGTAGGAACCCGGTTATTAGTCGATTGGCGGATTGCTTTTCTGGGGGTAATAACCCATTAAAAAAAATTAGACAATAATAATTTGGTCACTCAGTCCACGACTGTTTTGGGGACACTACTGTGCCCTATTGGCTGCCGTGTTTCATCCACAAAACATAGATTCAGTTCACTTTACAGTATATTCTGTGAAGGGCTTTGCGACGTCTCGAAGACGGGATAAGGCGCTGTATCAAGTGCAAGGATTATTATGAATAGTTCAGTTTATTGAAATATTTTTGCTGTCAAATTGAGTATTCAATCAACAGGATTTGATTATATTATCAAATGCAAGGATATTATTATCAGGGAGTAGCATAAAATGTGAAACTCGCTATAGGAAGGAACTGCTGAATAGTCTCGCCTTTTATGTGGAAAATTACTTGTTGGCATTCTGGAAAAACATCAAGCATAAAGTATTCTATAGCCATTGCTTGGGAGTAGGTACAGGAAGTGAGGCAGCTACATTCATGGAAAAAGTTGTGGCTGAGAGTGAGGAAAGCTTGAAATCAGAGCAGGCGCAGGAGTCAACTATGGAAAATTTTGTGGAGAACTTAAAAAAACGTAAAAGGATGTGAGGGTGTCAACAGAGAAAATGTTTCCAAATAGCTTGCAGGTGACTGCACCAATCCCGGATAAATATACGGTCAATTCACTTTACAGTCTATTCTGTGAAGCGCTTTGAGACGTCGAGAAGATGTGAAAAGCGCTATATCAAATGCAAGGATTATTATTATTATTCTAGCTATTAAATGATTCCGAAACTATTGATGGCCAAAGTATACACAATACACATTTGTATAGCGCCTTTCACGTCGGGAGGACGTCTCATATGCTTCACCCGATTGGTATCTGAGCTGAAGGTCGGAGACGGGGGGAAGGGAAAATGTGGACAAAGAGTTACATTTTGAGATGTCTTTTTTTAAAAAAAAAGGGAAGGAGTTGGAGGGATTCCAGGATGGAAGTTCAGGGAGCAGGTGCAAATGGCCGCAAGCCCCCGCTGTACTTGAGGGGCTTCCGGGGTTTTCAGATTATATTTTGTGTGACAATCTGAACGTCCCCGCACAAAGACCTATTTATTATCCACCATTTTTTTCCGCAAAGGTTCTGGTTCCAATTAGTGTGAATAACCAAATCTCTACTGTGGTATCCTGTAGGAGTAACAGAAAATGATGAGGCCATTCTTGAAGTGTTATATCCTCAGAGCATATTCTGATGACCCTTTCCACAACCTTTTTCTGAACTATGTTCACTTAACAACAACTTGCATTTACACAGTGGGTAGAGTCTTGGAGTGGTTAGCAGTGACAGACTCACTGCATCTCTGGAGGATCCACTGTCAAGGCTGCAAATTGTGTGCGCGTGGATAGAGAGAAGATTAGATAATTGATATACTCAGTGTGTAGTAGGATCACACAAAGTGAAAAAGATTTTGTTGGTAACTAATAATATTTTTTACTCCTTTTGTTAGTTTAGTTTTATTAAACTTCGGTAAAATCTTGAAGAAGTGGGATAAACTGAAGCCACCCACATGACAGTAAAAGTGGAATCCGTGTTTAAATGGGAGATTCTGGTGCGTTGCACTATTAGATCTAGGATATAATTTTACCTGTATATTTTTATTCAAGAAATGAGATACAGATTTTCAATATTTCTTTATGGAAGCATTTTCTGTGTA